AAACAAGAGATAACAGAGGCTCAGTTGGAGCTTGCAAAGCTTCAAATGTTAAAGGGTTACCAGCAATCCGAAAACCAAACGAACAATGTACAAACAGTTTCAGCTCCAGGAGTACTGTCCTCGGCGCCTCGGCAAAGCTACCAACCGCATTCAGTTCAGGCTCCCACCCAACAAGTTCCTTCGCTTCCTACTGATGATCCCCAAACTCTACCCCATCAGAATTTTCCACCGGCACAGGTCCCCACCCAGTCACCTCAGAATCAAATCCCCTCTATTCAATATGCGGATTCTAAGTACTCACCACCTGTGCAAAATCCACAACCCACACCTGAGATGTACTACAGCTTTCAAGTACAGCAGTCGCAACCGCCGCGCACTGCACCGTATCATCTTTCTCCTCCAGCACCACATCCTTCACTAACCTCACAATTACAGCAGCTGCCTCAACAGCAGCCTCCTTTCAATGCTGTTGACCCACAAGCCCAGTTTTCTTTGGTTCATAATCCCGGAGAAACCTCCATGCCATCTCAAAGATATCCTCCAAGCTTCCACAACACCTCTAATGCACCTGGCATGGCTCTCCCAACCCAACAACAGCAATATGCGGGTTCCATTCAGTATACACATGATCAAACCGCAAGCAATCAGTACCCAGAGTTTTCCCCTGGCCATATGCAGCCAGTTCAACATTCATATTTTGATGATTTTCGTTCCCACAGTGGATCTCAGTCGCACAACAGCAGTCCAAACATGAAACACTCGCAAGTCTTGCCAGCCTCATTAGACCGTTCTGGTGGAAGCAGCTTTTCGAAACTGCCAACTGCCAAGGTATTGCCGCACGCAATACCCATGGCTGCTAGTGTGGATAAGGAATCGAGTTCCAGTGGGACTGGAAACAGAATACCAATTGATAATGTCATTGATAAGGTTGTAGCGATGGGATTCCGAAGGGACATGGTCAGAGCAACGGTGAGGAAAATGACTGAGAATGGGCAGTCGGTGGACGTCAATCTTGTGCTGGATAAGCTGATGAACAATGGAGAACAGCCTCAAAGTGGTGGATTTGGCCGGTAATACGTGGTTGCCGGTAATACTTTGCCTTATGATTTATGAGTGTGATATTCAACTGTATGCTTTTGTCTCAATTCTTTATTCTTCTTAATCTGCTGTTTTACTATGTTACCTCCATTTTTCTTTTATTCTCTCCTTTTTTCTTAATGTAAATACTAAATAGCATGTAAATATGAAATGGTTGGTGACATTGAAATTTGTTATGTGTTGTATTTGTGAAGGTAAATTTCACCAAACGTTTGCTTGGCTGTTTTGTAATGGATTTTTCATGAGGAAATCATTCAAACTTGGATTGATTTCGGCTGATTGAGTTGAATTACGAATGTTACTATCAATACGTAAGCATCCAACTCAAAATCAATTGACCAAGTGACCGGATGACTGCGGGTGGAAGGACCCAAAACCAATTGGTTTTTCAAGGACACGCATGGAGCCTGTATCCTGGTGTTTTTGAGCATCTGTTGTGTAGCTTGGGGTGATGCAAATGGACCTGAACTGGAAAGGAACACTTTGAAGCAATGAGAGGACGGACAACTGAGTTTTTTTAATTCACAAAGCTGTGCAGACTTTAGGGGCGTGCTAGTTGCTGCAGCGTCATAATTTATTCTTATTGAATAGAAAAATTCACTTGTCACAGGTTCATGTAACCTCTCTCTCGTTACGTAATGCTGTTACACTACTCTTTTTTTTTTTTTTTTTTTTTTTTTTTTAGTACAGTTATATTTTTACATTAAGGGGAGGGGGAGTTCGGCGGAGTCACACAATGGGCAGCCTAATTTGGTATCGAATTAGTCATCCACGAGATTCAAACCTAAGATCTCTCACTTCTAAGTAAAGAGAAATATCATCAGATCGTAGTACTGAGTGCTATTACACTTCTACTCTTAAGCATCCGTTTTCGTAATTTACTCTCTTACGTGAGTCATGTGATAAGAAAGAGTAAAAGAGGAGACTTTTTCATGTAAAATTTTTCTCCTGATTAAGAATTAAAAGTCTCGATTGGTTTATCATATTTATTCTTTAAAAGAAATTCAATTTCCACTAATATAATTCAATGATACAACAAAAGCCATGAACATAACATCATGGAAAGCATTTTCTGTCACGCACCTTAAATTCTTATTGATTATAAAGTCATTTTTCCTCTATTGGGAAGAAGGACCATGTCCTTTATTGCTAGAAAAAGGAGAGGTTTTCATGGCTAGAAAAATAGGACCACAATTTGCTTGGGGTGGGTGGGAGAGGAAGAAAGATAGTGATCAGAGACTTGAAGGCCTTGAGGGTGAGTCTGCTCATGTGAACTAGGAAGGAGGGTTTTGTTTTCAATCTTTCATTCCCCTTGGGAAGAGGAGGAGATTTCTTATTAGATTAGATTACAATGACTAGAATGAGTTCCATTGGATCTCCTTTGGACCTAGAGATTTGGACTGTTCAAGAGAGAGACATAGAGATTTAGGTCCGTTCAAATTTGAGTTTTTGTGAAGTAGGTCATTGAGATGAGCTAATAAGAACCGTAAAGTTGAATTGAGTAGTCTAAATCTCTCGATCAGAATGGATTTCAATCCAAAATTTATGAGCTCTAAGTAGCCTAAATAATAATGGTCCCAAAATTTACAGGCACAAAAGGGATTCTCTTATTTATTTTTTCAACTATTATTGATGGTGCTGATTTTGTGGACCTATGAAATAAGCCAATAGGTGATAGAGTATAGGAATGTATGTGTCTCGTCCCTTTCCATCTCTATTTTTTTTTTTCCAAAACCAACAAATATAATTTGTTTCATCTACCACCACCACCACTCTTAAGTTTTAATGCCTTATATATTCTTTTTAAGGTATTTAATAAGGATGTTTTGGGATTCAAGGACTTTAAGGTAAAAAAATTGGTGTGGTTGTGTAACCTAAACATGTTTTTTAATAGGTTGTCTTGTCACACCGCTATTTGGTATGGATGTTGATGATGAAGTGGAGGAAGAAGAGAGAGTTGTTTGGGTGCGAGTAGCATAAGGTCGGGTGTGTGGAAATCATCGGCTCCGCCGCCATTCAGAGAGGGCGGCAACCACCCTCAAGAACACCCAGCACGGCCTCTCTAAGAGCAGAGCCTCATTCTTAAACTGATGAGCCTTTGGTATAGATGAAAATAAGGTGATGCGTCATGAATTTTGGATATAATATTCATAAATAAATTCACATGATACAATGTAAGTGGATTGATAATATCACGTGGCAATATGATAATCACACTAAATAAATACTTCTATTGTGACCCACAAATCTTTAGAGAGAATTGCATAAACATATCTATACTATCCAAACTCGTGGCAATATGACAATCACACTATCCAAACTCGTGTTTTAGTGTGAATGTACCATCTCCATTACTTATCAATTAAATATTTAGTCAAAATATATATCATTTGCAATGCACGTGAACTCTTAAGAACTCGATTGACTAAAGCTCGTGAGATGCATCTTTTGCTTCTTCAAAGACGAGTTGTAGTCAACAAAATTCTTACTCCAAGTCATTTAAGGGTCTTGGACAGGTAAAGATACACATGAAAAATATTCTCACCTGCGCAACACATAATGACACTTGATGAATTCCTAACGGGGATTGACAGAGATGATACATCCACACTAAATTCAAGAGTTATTGTAGTAACTTGGCAATACTTTAGTTTATCTGAAAAACATTGAACTCATCACATAAAATGTCAGTATCTTTATCAATTTTTCAGATACCAGCATCTTTCGTTGGCCAAAGTGGTAAAGATTTGCACTTTATTTCAAGGGAGAAAAGACCCACGAAAGCTTGCTTGCATAAACTTTGTGGATGCAAGTGGTGCCACACCCACAGTGCCATCTCCAGCAGATCTTAACTAAATAGTAAGGATGCATGTGCTCCCAGTACGTTACTTAAAACGACAACTGCTTAATTTAGTCCAGGTTTTTTAGCTAAAATGATTTTTTGACATTGACATAACTTCTCATTTTAGTCTCTGACATTGAAAATTGATAGAAGTAGTCCATGAGTTTATCATCGTAAATCATTTTGATCATTTCGTAAAAAATTTGTCAATATTCTCGTTAAATTGTCAAGTGAACGACCACGTGACCACTTTTTTGTCTAACCAACATCTCCACTTGACGAAGATATTGATAGATTTTTCAGGCAAAGATTAAAATGATTTACGGTGTACTAATTCAGAGACCGCTTCTATCGATTTTTGACACAACCCAACTCGGAATGTCCACATGGACTCCGAATCGAGTTGTGCTAGCCGACACCATAAAGGTGACGAAGCCATAAAGTGTAGTGATATGAAAAATGTGAATAAATCTAAACCTAAAAATGCCTAAATATAAAAGTGCGCTTGTAAGCGGGAATGAACCCATTTCACACATGATGTCAGAGCATAAGTAAAGTACAGTAGAGGTAGGATGAGAATTATACCATCGAAGGTAATCTTCTAAACCAAGATTTGTCAGGAATCCTCGTCGACACGCAAACATTGCCACTACATGGAGGGGCGAAAAATAAATGTGAATGGGCCTAAAAATAAAGTTTTGTAAAAACCTTTTCGAAAACATAATAACCCCTCGTCGTAAAACAAGTATAGTTTCCAAAATAGTACATACTTTGTATAGTATGAAAATATTTACCGTAGCATGCAATATCTCAAGAATTCAATACGTCACAAAATTCGTAAATAAGCATATAACTTCTAGTAATCACAATATCTCGTAGAAATAAACATATCATATCGAGTGCTCAACGACACATGCTGACACACGAGTTCATGCAGAGGTATTCTAACATGAACAAGACTTGGTGTAATAATGATTTACGCTCTAGTACTACAATCACGTGAAGACTGGTGCTATGCGCATCACATACGAGTCTCAATTGCCTATAGCAATCTAGGACATGACTTGCACCTACAATGGATCCAAAGTGAGTGTATGGTGCGATGTGAACATACAATTGAAGGCTAGCCCTGGCCCAGGCGAGTACTAACACCAGTGTAGCACACGATGAGCAGATAACGTAAATATAGTCATGCCACAATAATTCGAGTCAACATAATATTATTCATAGCCGTCAATCTAATTAAGGTCATCCCGTAGGATTTATAATGATTTCCTAATTCTCATCATTACGACATTTCGTATAAATGTTAATTTCATTACCCATCACCTAGAAAATTCGTTATATATATATATATAAGAAAAGACCCACTCACAGATACTTGTAAGTCGTAGTCGTTCAGACGAGTAGATACGGATTGCTGATGCTAATCGTACCTAAGCATAATAGAGACTTATTAGTAAAACTCAATTAAAACATTTGAATTTGGAGAAATATATGACGAATTTGGAATCAGTGTGTCGAAATACACTAAGAAGGGTCCCCGGCAAATTTTGTAAAAAGTTAACGAAAAAGTCAACAGTCAACCTAAAAAGTCAACTTAAACACCCCAGCGGTCAACTATGTTAAAACTTCAGAATTTCACTAAATGGATGTGAAAAATGGACTCGGGGCGTCAAAATTAGCCTATGAGGGTTTCCGATAAAATTTCGAAAAAGTCAACACGAGGAATATTCTAAGAATATTTTAGAGAATATTCTGAGCCCATTTTTGAAATGGGCTGGGCTGGAACAACAGGCCAAATGTTTGGGCTTAAGCCCTTTTTTTTCGTGTACTAGGTCGGGTAAACCTGTTTGGACTCGCGGGTTGTTGGACCCAACGAAGGAGAAAGCTAGAAACTGGGAATTTTTGCCAGGAAACTTCTCCGGCTCCGTTTAGTTTCAAAACTCAACTAAAACTAGCATATGATATATGAAATTGAAGCTTAAGATGAGAGGAAGAGAAATATACCAGCACGAGGTCCTGTTGTGGCCGAAAAATGGCTTAATGCCGTCGGGTTTATCGCCGAAAACTGGGGAAGTTCTTCCCATATGTGGTTCTGCATTCAAAGATCACTAACATCCGTACAAAAACACTAGGAACGTATAGTAAAACACGATCCACGAAGATTTGGGTGGCTTTCAAAACTTACCAACGTCGGAGACACCATGAACTCACTGGGTTCTCCTCGGTGTTCATGTGCAGCGAGCACAAAGGGGGAAAGAACATCGAGAGTTTAGGATCAGGAGGAAAAAGGGAAGTGCGAGGTGTGGTGGTGGTCGTTGGTGGTGGTGAGGTTCGCCGGAGTGTCGACGACATGCAATTGTGTTGGTGCACACGGAGGAGATATGGGGGACGTGAGAGTAGAGAGGGTGAGTCAGTCTGAAAGGGAAAGTGTCGAGAGAAAGAGATGAGTGTGTGGGAGAAGGAACACTTGGCAAGACAGGAGTGGAGAGTTTGATGTGGGTGTAGTCCCCACGGGCTAGAAAATATTAAAATAATCAAAATATCCCAACAGAAAAATATTAAAATAATAATATAATAATATAATAATTAAAAGAAATATATAAAATATAAAATAGTAATTTTATACAAAAGCATTTTCGGATTCGTAGTTCTATAGAATCTTCATCGTAGCTCCGAATTTGATTCCGCTTGTGCCTAAGCGCTCGTACCGTCGAGTACTTTGAGAATATGATAAAATAGTAGCTCGTACACATAACGAAATGACGGTCAACGAAAGTCAACAATCTCGCCGCTACTGGCATTTTCATCAATTAACTTTTTTAAAATTAATAAAATCGTAAAATTAGGGACGAGTTGTGACAATTTTAGGAATTACTCCAATCTAAAAAAAAATTGACTAAAAAACCTTTAATCAATTATATATGATTTGCGACCATTACCAACAGCATATATTTAGGGCACTCGTCTCTATCAATGTCTTCATCATATATCACTAGGCAACACACACAAAAAATATTTGACCAATAATTGTTAATTAACTTATCTTAAGTGATAAACTAGCGGTTAGTCTAGTAATAATTCTCTCTTCATAATTAAAAAATATTTTGTGTTGAACTATTCCTCATTCGTTGATTAGAAAAATATTTTAACCAACGAAGATGACTAGTCAAAGTAGAAATTTATACAGCTAAAAATTAGTTGGTAGAAATTTAAAAGATTACAAAAGGATCATACTCTAACTTCTAAAACTACAGAGAAATCTCTCATTAGAAATCTGAAATCTCAAATGTACGTGATATATATTCGGAACATCCATAAAGATTTTGCTTTTCAACAATTAATTGAGGTCAAACTTTTAAGTATGACATGTTAACTTAATCAAAGAGGTACCATATCATAAGTATATACCTCACATAAATCAGCAGTACTCAACCTAGACCTGGTTCTTAATAGGTGATCCAATAACGATACAATTCGTTAACGGGTCGTGTCATTTTGTGTCGAGTTGACGGGTCATGCAAGAAATTGTCATGCCTAATGTTTAAATCAGGCAAACAATATCTTATCGAATTTTTAATAGGTGACCCGATAACGAATTGATTCCTTAACGGGTTGACCAAAAACCTATTATTTTCGTATCTTTTCGTGTCGAATTAACGAGTGGTGTAACAAATTACCAGACTTAACTCGTCCGTAATACGATTCCAAATTTATCTCAATAATTTTTTTTGGCTGTTGCAATATATAGTATGAGCTAGGCTGTTTTTTTGTGGCTCTTCCTTGCAAAATAGTGTCATTTCCTTATTGAGTTTTCTTAGTTCATCAATATTGTCTTGCATCATGATGGTCATGGCAAACATTTGACTTAGGATGTTGAAGGCATTTCCCAAAGGTTGGTCAACCAATTTCAGGTCAGTTCGTGTCATTTTCTTGCGTAGTTTTGCTCCTTGCATTCCAATTTTATATGATTTTATAACACTGAAAAATACTTTTGATAGGAATCAACTTTTCTTAGTGAAAATCTTATTCTTGTTTATAAATTTTAAAAAGCGTTCTTCTTATTTAAGTTATCGATTCTTAGTACGTAAGCATGACATGACACAAGTTTTCCATTTAATCTAATTTTTCAGAGTGAGGATTCTGGAAATCCTTAAATTACATCCGTTCATCATGCATTATGCGGTGAGAAATCATTGTAAATTTGTTTTATTTAAAATTGAATATAAACAGTACCTGACGAAAACTGGTTGCACGATGTACGATCTGGTGGTATTCATCTTCACTTGAAAGTGAGAGGTTTTAAGTTCGAATCTCGTGGATGGCGAATTCGATACCAAATTAGGTTGTCCATTGTGTGGCTTTGCCGAACTCTCCCTCCCATTAGTGTAAAAATATCGATGTAAAAAAAACCTCAAATGATACGAAAGCATAATACATTTAAGACAACTTTTTATTTCGATATTTTGTAAAATGATTGACCTATATATAACAAATTCTCTTGGTAGTTGGAATTTTACTATTGCAAGCTACAATGTTTTTGTAAGAGTTGCCCTAAATCTTTATATGTGACAATGATACTATATGGTTAATTATATGATTATTGTGGATGCAAATTTCTTCCTCCTTGATCTTGGACAAAATTGCACCTACAAAACAACTAACACCTTTGGTTAAGGCCAAAAGCCTCATGCGCCCATGATGAATGGGGGGGGCTTTGGCCGAAGAACCTCCGATGCCAAAGTTAGAATTTAGAGAGAAAAGTGTTTGGAGAGTATTGGGAATTTTGCAAGTGTGTTGGAATGATCTTTTGGTGAAAATGGCAGCCTATTTATAGGGATAGGGTGTCACTTATGGTTTAATGTGTGATTTAATGGATTAATTAGGCAATTAATCCATTAATTGGTTAATCAACACATTTTTGGAATAAATATTTTGAAGGTTATGTAATTTATATGAGATGTTTTGAAGGTTATGAAATAATTACCTTGTGGAAAATATAGGATGAGGATGGATGAAATAACTTTGAATTTGTTACCTATTTTGGGCACTTTTGATTTGGTTGAAGGATGATTGCTCGCTGCTCGCGCGTAGGAATCCCGTTGTACCTCAAGGGTATTTTTGTCCTCTTTTGTCCAAAAATCCACGTGTCGCCTTGTGATTATTTTTGGCTCCACAAATGCCCCCACACCTGTTGGGCTGCTCGTAGGAAAGGACAGCAGGTGTATAGATCATCTTACTTTAGGAAACGTATGACTGCTTCCTATTTTGATGTTGATTCACTCTTTAATAGGAAATTAGGTCATTTTAGGAAAGGGAAATAAATTTCTCTCAAAGCCTATCTAAGTCCACCTTAAGTGGGTTATTAAATCAACTTTGGAGAACGATTTATTCTACCCTACAAGAGAGAGAGAGCTTAGAGGATATTTTTCCCCCTCCTCTAGCAATCTTCTACATCTTGCCCGTGCAAAGGACCGTCTTTCGTTGATTTCTTCGTCTTCACCGTACCGCACCGATGTAAGAAAATTTTAATTTTTTCTTGTCTTCTTCTTGGATAGTGCTAATGCGGGGCAGCCGTCGGGGTGGTGCGGTATGTTGGCTGGCAAGGACCAGGAGTCGGCTTGGCATGGGCCGAGGAAGCGTCGTGGTAGGGGCCATTGCTTGGGCTGTTTGGCTTAGCTAGAGCCAAGGGCAGCTTGTGCGGCCGGGGCTGCGGATTGTGGCGTTGGGGCGCAATGCTAGGCGAGCCACATGACTCATGTCCTTTAGGCTCTTGGACCTTACTCGGACTAGGCTGGCGACTGAAAGAAATGAGGAGGTCGTGGGCCTCATGGGTTGCTGGAATGATGGGCATGCAGGCCTCCTGCCTGCTAGAATGCTGGGTTGAGCTCATCTGTTGAGTACCGTGAATGACGTTGGCTGCTTAGTTCTTTTTTACCGAGAGAAATGTGGGCTACTCTCGAAAGAGAAGGTAAAGAGGATCAAGGTGGATGCATTGACTCGTCTAATCGCTGTCGCGGAGCTTACTATGAATGAAGATAGAAAGAAGAGATCTTCCCTGCCTGATCAAGAGATGCCGGTCGAGAAAAATTGAAGACTTCATCCGCTGTTCATAAGGGTCTGCCTGCTGCCGAGATGCTTATGATTGACATAACTTCTTCCAATGGGAATAAAAAATGAGGCTGCTAGATCTGAGCCTGTGGCGCCTGCCATGTCGAGAAAGACTTGTACGATTGCTGATAGGATTGCTCAGCGTAAAGGTCATGTCATGCCCCCAGTGCCGAAGTCTGTACCAAGATGTTTGTTGGGAGCTAAGTCTGATTCACCTTTTGAGAGGCTTGCTACTATGAATAGCAATAAGGTGAACTCTGCTGCTAAAGTGGCGTCAAGGCCCATTCCCTTTGCTACTGAGACTGATTCACCTGCTAGGAAGGAAGAGACTGCTCGCGTGGGCAGCTGTGAGAAATCCACTAAGCCTGCTTCTGGGGAGGCTGCTGAGATCTGTGTGCTTTTGAAACTAAATCTACTTGAAGACATGGACTCTTGTGCCAAGTTTGTTGATGGCGATAGAAAGGTTGTTTGCCCAAGTTCCTTTGCGAAGCATACAACCCAATATAGAAAGACTGCTCTACTTGCTATGATGCATATATAACAAGGCTGCCAAGGAGGTGGCGAAGACTATGGCAGTTAAAGCTTATTCCTCAACCGAGGAGATCAAGAGGTTGGATTATGGGCTTGTTGCTTTAAAGAGGTCTAATATTTCTGCCCCTACTTCTCTGCAACTCAAATTCAAGATCTTGAGTTTGCAGTTTCTGAGCTTCATTTCGCTGCTTATGCAAAGGATGAAGAGTCGATTGCTTCTTATAATCAAGTGATCCATTTCAAGAAGGTAGTCGATAGGCTTGAACCCCAAGTGTTGGAATTTCAAGATGTTGGTCTGAAGAAGGAAGTGGATGAGCTGCAGCGTGTCCGTGTTGGTCTGCTTGAGAAGAATGAGTAGCTAAAGGGTGAGAATGATGGGCTTGAAGTTTCGAGACCTTCTTTATTTCTCCGAAAAACTTGCTTGCTTTTAATTTTGAGGCTTCCATTGGTGAAGTAGTTGGAGAAGTTAGTGCCCAGGCTGAGGCAGCCGGGGGTGAAGCGCTAGATGATGCCGCTGCTAAGAGCGTCGCGGCTGCTGAATGTGTGGTGACTGAGTAGTCGTGGGATGTCTAGGCTGCTATAATCTTCTAGGTAGCCTTTAGGATTTTATTTGTTTTTTCTTGTAGCTCTTGTTTTGCTTGAACTCCTTCGGTCTTTGTTATTTGTTTATAAACATGATTCCTTCACTTTTCTTCATCTTCGTTTATTTTGTTCATGCCTTAACCTGTAGACTTGATAGACCAGTGACAGACATGCTACTTTTTTTATAAGCAGACAAGCTCGCGTAGCCTATGCAACC